TACTTGAGGACAACTCCATTTCCTGACTTGTGGTTTTCCTTCTCTGACCCAGATTTACCAGTGATCTGTGGGGACATGGTGCAAACGATGCCAGTCAGCTGTGGAACGTCCAGTTCTGCAGCCTGCATGCATGTGAAGCAGCTTTACAAGACTAAACGTTTAATTGTGCACATCACAAGTGACTTTTTGCATCGAACGAAATCGATTTTGTTGGAGGAGTGGGATGAGGATTAATGTTGTCACCTGAGGGCCTGAAAACTATTAGACCTTCAGCCTTTGAGCTCAAAGATTTCTCCAGATTCTTAAAACGTCTTGACGTCATGAACTGTAGATGACCTGATATTCAAAGTCCTCCCAGTTTTGTGTTGAGAAACATTATTCTGAAATTATTTGTCTAGATTTAAATATATTTATTCAGACTGCTGAACCTCTGCCCATCTTTACTTCGAATAAATTCACTCTAAAATGTTTTTATTCACAGTGACCTGTCAATTAAAACAATTTGATACAAAATGCTCCTCCAGCTGTTTGTCTTTTACAGATGTTTGTTGCCACTGCCATGACTTTTTCTAAATATATCGCTGCCATAAAATTTCAAATTACTTTACTCAAAAATACAGTACTTTGGTTTAAACTGTTGATACAATTACTATTTTTCACTATGAATAATATGGATTTATAAAATTTGCAAATCATTGCTTTTTTTTTTGTAAAATTATATCTATATACACAAAATATTTCTAAAAAAAATCTAAATCATCATATTGCAAATAGCAAACACTCTTCATCATTGTTAAAAACATCAGTTTTATGTTGATTAAAAAGGTTTAATTTAACAGGCGTTATCAGACAAAGGCACATAATACATAAAAATACACTTGATTGATCAGATAGTGCACCAGGGACAAACACAAAGGATGTAAACAAGATCATACGTGAATGTTATGAATGTAAAACTAGTTTTAAACAGGAACAAATTCGATTTCAAAATTATCTGTAAAACAGAGCGATGAAACATAAAAAATAAAAACACATGGCAAACAAACAGTGGTCCACACCTACATATCAAACTCTCACAGGTGATGTTCATAAAACAGATAAAATAATACATTAGTGAATCACGAACATTAAAAAATTAAAAAAGGCTTGGAGTTAATCACCAAAACCAGCATTGTCCTGTTTGTGAGGCTGTTTGTTGCTCTTGTTAAACAGAGAATTGCATTTTTCTTTCCCAGAAAAAAAGCCCTGTATCACAGTATAACTCACCGCCTCGGCGTTACATCGTTGGACAACATGGTGGTAAAAAAAAAAGGGACGAACACATAAGACATTCACGGAGCGGAAAATAAAGTGACAGGTTCTGTTTTTGTGCGCCCGGAGTGCTGCGGTGTGCAGTTGTTACCACGCTACTAAGGTAATGCAGTTAGATTGATTTTTGGCCTCTGAGAGAAGAGATGGCTGGTTTTATCAGTCCAGCAGTGGCTTAGGCTCGTTATGGATCTCTGAAGGCAGCGTTAATGACACGTCCTTACACGCTCCTCCAGCACCAACACTCCGTCACTCCACTAAAACTGACACCCTCTCCTACACGAATGGGAATAAAAAACATTTGAGCTCAAATATATTGCACTTGAAAGAGCTACAGTTAACTGAGAAACTCTCACACATACGAGACGGTGAGGAATAACAGAAACGAAACATTAAAACAGGTGCCCAACACCTCTGCCCCAGTCTACCACAAGTAAAATGTTTTAAAAGTACCATTACTATAAAACCAGCAGCCTTTTAGCTCAGCTTTGTAAATTAACTGGAAACTAAGCTACAAGCCCAGCTCTGGCCAGGCATTCAAATTAGCCAACTAGCCTAAAACCTATGATAGAGCTTTAGGGCGAGCTAAGAAACAAATTAAAAACCATACGAGAATAAAGTCATACGACTTTTTTTTCCCACGAGATGGATCCACAACGCGACCTGTCAATCAATCCAGTAGGCAAGTCAGAAAATGACCAGTCCGAAGCTAAATGAGTCCGACACCATAGAGCAGGGTTGACCACATTTTAGCTGTGGTACAATGAAGAATGTTGAGCATCTTGTTAAGTTATGCAGTAGTCCCTCGCTACTTCGCGGTTCGTTTATCGCGGATTCGCTCCATCGCGGTTTTTCAAAATAAGATTGAACATGACACACAATTATCTGACTGATTGATGAGCCGCAGGGTCGGCATGACATTTTTATTTAACATTAATTATTTTAAATTATTTAGCACCTGCTGCATCTTTGTGCAGCCCAGCGCTGCAGAAAATGTGTCCTCCTGCCTTTGTGCAGCTCTTACTGCAGGATAAGCTTCCTGCTGCAGTTGATCAGCTGTGAAGTGGGCGTGGCCAAGAGCACTTGCAGGTGGCTGAGAGCTGAAATCACGACATTCTGTGCTCTTTTAAAGCATTTAGTTTAAAAACATCGTTTAGATTGTTGCAAGAGTATGGGAAGGGTTTAAAACACC